TATATGCTGACATTTATCGACGACTATTTAAGAAAGGTATGGGTATATTTTATTAAGCACAAATATGATGGATTTGATTGGTTCAAGAAATTTAAAGTATTGATTGAGAAGCAATCAAGTAAACAAATCAAGTGCCTAAGAATCGATAACGACATAGTAAAGATTTTACCGAGTTCTGTCAGAAAGAAAAGATTGTGAGACATCGCACAGTGCCTAGGACACCGCAGCGAATGGCCTCACAGAACATAAGAACATAACTTTACTTGAGCGAGCTCGATTTATGCTTTCGCATGCAGAACTAGGTAAAGAATTTTGGACCGAAGTAGTGATGGCCTGTTACTTGGTTAATTGATCTCTATCATTTGCTATGGAAGACTCTAAGGAAGCATGGTAGGGAAAACCTGTTGATTACTCAAGATTATAAGTATTTGGATGTCCTATGTATGCTTATGCAAGTGATGATAAGCTTGAGCCGAGAGCGAAGAAATGCATATTTCTAGGTTATGTGGGATAAAAAGCTACCGACTATGGTGCACCAATCCCAGATCACCTGGTTTTCTAAACGATGGACATGTGATCTTCGACGAGACTGCTATACTTTGATAGAGGAGTCTTGAAGCACAATCAGTAGAGCATACAGATCGTTGTGTCATTAGTGCTTCAGGTGAAGACACCTGAGACCCCAGAGGTAATAGGAGGTTGAGACTACATATAAGGCTGCAGCTCCTAAAATTGGTGATATAGAATCACTAGCAAAGTTGCAATGCACATAGCCACGGGCAGACAAAGAAGGCAAGTTCAACTACCGGTACATTATGGTTGTACAAATATTGCTTATGCATTGACCGTAGGTGATGAGGTGGAGACAGATAAGCCTTCATCTTACTCTGAGGTGATTGATGGGTACCAAATAGCCACAAGATTGTTGGAAGCAAATGTCTACAAATGGAAAAAGGCCATTCCCGGTGTCGAGACAGCGTTGTATAAGGCAAGACTGTGGATTTTGGGCTTCATCTAGATGTGAGAGAAACACTCGAGCGTATGAGGGATTCTAACATTGATTCTTCGATTATAGTAAATTATTTTCTGCTGACTCTTCTTGTGGAGTAGGTACCGACACTCGAATCGAACTACGTAAATATCATTTTCCTTTATTGTTCCTCGTTTATTTCTCTAGTGATTTCACATTGATTTAATTGCAAGATCCGATATTTTCCGCATTAATTTTACAACAATCTCAACCGAAGCTAAAATTAAACTAATAAAATCATATCAAAAACAAATTGATGACTTGAGCTTGTTTAATCATTTCAATTCGTGTATGTTAAGCCCACACTCAGATAGGATTCTTAACATCGACTTGAGAATGTCTACTTTTGTACTTGATAAGTACTAACCAAAGGGTACTATTGAGTCGAATCGTGTCGACACAATCAAATTTGCAAAGCTTGATTCAACCCGAATGTTCGAGGCTCGATTCTTGATTCGTGCTCTATTGAGGTTGATCTTTCGAGCTCAAGTTCAATGGGGATAGATTACACCAACCTCGAGCTTGACCCAACTTTAATTACTCCGTTAGTCAATAAATTTCACTCGAAACTCAAATTCAACTCGAACTCAAGCTCAGTTTCTGAAACTACACTATCTTGGAAAAGTTAATCAGTTTTATACATTTAGTCATTACTATATATGTGCGTAACGTATGTCATATGGCTAAACTATATAAAAATACATTCATTCGGTTTTGTTTTTCATTTACTTGAATAAAGCATTTTCAAGCTCAAGCTTGACACGATTAAGTACTCGTTCAATTCGAATTTGATATAAGAGTCGAGCAAAGTTTAAGTTCTGAGTCAAGTATGAGTAATATGTCAGTCGAACTCAAGTAGCTCCTGAATAAGCTGACTCCCATGCACGTTTAGTACCAACGGAGGAAAATGAGTTCTATCGACCTCCACGATACAAATACCATGAACTTAAATTTATCCATTCATAACATTACCAGAGAAAAGTGTCAAAAAAGTCTTAAACCTTTTGCATTTGTGCCAATTGAGTCCTAAATCTTTTTTTGATGCCAATTCAGTCCTAAACCTTTTTTTGGTGCCAATTTAGTCCCAAACCTTTTGCATTTGTGTCAATTCAGTCCTAAACCTTTTTCATTGGTGCCAATTCAGTCCTAAACCTTTTGCATTGGTGCCAATTCAGTCCTTCCGGCTAATAGCTATTCACGTGTCGAAGGACCGAATTGGCACAAATGCAAAAGGTTTATGACTGAATTGACACCAATGTAAAAGGTTTAGGACTGAATTGGCACAAATACAAAAGGTTTAGGACTAAATTTGCACAAAAAAAAAGGTTTAGAACTCAATTGGCACCAATGTAAAAGGTTTAGGACTGAATTGGCACACAAAAAAAAGATTTAGGACTAAATTGGCACAAATGCAAAAGGTTTAGGACTTTTTTGATACTTTTCCCAACATTACCATGAAGAGTTGTAACATTTTACTAATGTGTATCGGTTTGGTTCAATTCAGTTTACAGTCTTTTTGTTATTTTTAAACCAAATCTAAACTGACAAACGAAAAATTCGCTCCTCCTTTGAATGATACAAGGAACCCTTTTTTCTTTTTCAATTACAAGATCACATTATTTATTTTTCAGGCACGCATAAAAGAAGCTGTAAAAATAACCACAGCGCAATAAAGCAGGTGTTGTACACCAGACGAAAGCACCTGCATTCGTTAGGTCGAGGGCCTGAGCTTCTTTAAGTCTAAGAAAGTTAGGTTGTATTGAAGGAAGCGATTGATGATCGTTGAAACATGCATGAGAAAATGAAGGTCCAACGAACCTAAAACGAGCAATCATCGGCAGATTCTAGGGTTTGCTAGTTAGGCATGCTACGAGAGTTGGGAGGGGGTGAGGCGGTTTAGGTTTTCCCTAATTTAAGAGAAATTCTTTCTCAGCTAGTTCTACTACATTTTATCTAATTAATTTTTATAGTGGTATGAACATCTTTGACGTGGAAAGAGAACCATGGAGTCAATCGCAATAGCGAAATAAACGGAGAAATATGCGAAAAATAGAGGGAACAACGCATCAGGATTTTCGTGGTTTCCTTCGAGTGTTCGGAACCTACCCACGGGAGAGCAATGACAATAAATCTACTATGAACAACGGAGATACAAGCTTAGATCGAAAGCTCTCTCACGCTCAAGCCCTAGATGACACCCACTCAATACTTACATAGTGTTTCACTCAATCTTTCAAGTGTTTTCCAAAAAGTAAATTCTCAGAGAGACTTTAGAAACACCCTCAAGAGACTCTAATGTGTAATCTCTCTATGCATACTCAAAAAAGGTAGAAGTTAGGTTTAAATCGAGATGTCAGCCTTGCATTCGGGATGGGCCAGGCGCTTGCCACATGACCAATATGAAACTGGATTATCCATTTACTACTTAATAGTATATTTATGATTGACTAATAACATTTATATAATATGAGATACATTATAAACATTATATTGCTATATCATCACTAGTGATATATATCTTAATTATCATTCATTTACGATATCACTGACAGTATGTAATGTTATACTTAAATTAGTTATGTCAAGTGTTTTTATAGTTGATATTCTCCAACTACATGTAGAATAACAAGGAGAAAAGAGAGGAGGGCACCATTGCGAATACTTTATGACTTTTATGCTTAATAAACACATAAAATAAATACCTATTACAACTATGACTATAATACGATTATTAACTTGAGAGTTACTACTGTAAGCAAATATGGTCATCCTAATAGGCCGAGAGCATAATAGCCGGTAGTGCAACAAAAGATGTTATTATTGTTCGTTTGAGGTGATTTTCTACCCTTTACTAAGTTCATAATTAATTTTTACCTTTAATGTTGAAGGCTTCACTTAGCACTTCAAATCGTAACTAATATGTAACTATTAATATCTAAGATCATTTAAATTAATGTGAACTTAATTGTTACCTTTCCCAAATCTAAAAAGTATTTTAGATTTGTCAAGATATTTAAAAAGTGGAACCTAAAGAAAACTTGAGGCGCTGACAAAAACCTACAAATCCATAAATTGGAAAAAAAGAAGAAGGGAATGGTCAAAATGACCACAAAAACCTCGAATGCAAAATATCTATCAGAGAATGCGAAATTAAATCCAAGAAGACAAGTCGAAGCTTTAGCTACATTTGACCTGTAAAACCTAACGTATTTCACATGAATTTCCCAGATCGCGATAGGACAAAGTCAATCGGACCCCCATTTCGGTGAACAGTCTCACTTGCGTGTCGTCCCAGGATTGTGGGAATCAACAGAAAATGAAAGGTCATGTCCACATTTTCAAACAATTACTAAGACAATATGACGACATTAAGGTGTGAAACCCACTCGAAGGAAAATTCATTTACTCCATGATTAGCCGCAATTCTCATGATATTCTTGACCCAAGATTCACGCGTAGATTGATACTTCTCAAATGCGTGTTGACACTCGCTCTTATGTCATCAGATACAAGTTAACAACCAGACAATTATGATCTTATAAACTATAGTTTATTAGTGGGGTTATTAATATTTTAATTATCGAATTTAGTAATGGAAGAAAAAGAGAGAAGCTTCACGAATTCGGAACCTCACCGGCCAAGAACGAATATAACTTCCTCAATATTCGAAGCCGAAACCCCTTTTTTTCCGACTTTTCAACTGCAGAGACGTCGCAGCAATTGACGCGATTTTGTGGACCTGGATTAAGGAAATTCTTTATTGGCAAAGTTGACAATTACATGTCATGCATGAGGTAGTGTGAACCGAAACAAGGACTCGTTCGAAGGAGACTTCGAATGGGATCGAACACATGTATGTTTAGGCTGAGGACAAGTATAAAAAGGGTGTCGAGTTTGGGTCTTTTGGCTCATCCCACATCCAAACACTTGGCGTAATAGCAAAATCACATTGCATTCGGTGGGAAAGAAGATGTCTTCCAAGCACTTGTTGCTCTTGATCCTCAGCTTGGTGGCTCTCGCAGCCCCGGCCCTAGCTGAGTACGCCATGCCGCCCGAGCACGGCAAGCACAAGCCTCACCACCATGGGGCCATGCCGCCCGCTTGGGCGCCACACCACGGGCACAAGCCCCACCACCATGGGGCTATGCCACCTGCTTGGGCACCACACCACGGGCACATGCCGCACCACAAGCCTGGCGCCCCAGGGCCGATGCCCGAGCTTTTGGAGAAGCCGTTCCCAGGCCACCACCACCACCACCCGCCTGCCCACGCCCCCTTCCCGCATCACGGTCACCACCCAGCTCACGCACCGTTCCCGCACCACGGCCACCACCATGGAGCGCACCCGCCAATGGAGAGCGGCAAGGCCCCTCACAAGCCGCACATGCCACATGCACCAGCCCCCGGTCATCCCTACTGAGTTTTTGAACGTTTGATGGCTCATGGATATGCATGTTTTCCGTTAGAATAAGAGCCTATTAGATGTTCTTGTGATTCATCCATGTATTACTTGACTAAATGGCATGGCTTCTTACCGGCCATTACCATATTCTAGATTATACAGAGCTTGTGTAGCTCGTATTATATCCTGTTTCTTGATTACTATCATAGTTATGCACTGCTTTTTTAATCTTTGTGTTTGATTGAGCTCATCTATGCATTCATATCATGCCCTCTCACAGTCACATTTACATTTTCGTGTGTGATCCTTCCTTTAGTAGTTTACCCTTCATTTTTCCCAATGAAAGAATACGCATGATGAAGAAGGCCGTAGCAGTAGCTCGAGTTCTCACAATGGATAAGTGTGCACAAGTGAAATGGTATATACTGTTGGTATTGCGGTTCTGAATGTCATGCGTTATCTTGAAGTGAAAAGTTCAAAACGTGGGTGATAGAGATATAAGATCATTGGACGCAATGAACTGCAAATACTTTAAGAAAAATGTATCAAGTCGGTCATGTATTTCGAACATGATATATTTGAACTAATCTATATATAGTCCAGATAAAACCATCAAATTAGGGTTTATATAGTGTTTATATAGTCCAGATAAAACCATTTTCTCTTGATTTGCTTTTTGAATTTAGGATTTGATTTTTAATCTCGTCTTTTCCTAAAGCCAGTGATGGAGCAAAACGAATTTGTGAGTGGGTGCAATAAATTAAAGAGCAAGTGTAGTAAATGAAAACTTTTATTTTTTTCACTACGCAAAACGAGTAAAATCATTTCAAGAAAATGTAAGATTACAAGCACAACCACCGGAGCCTCAAAATAAATGATCAAAACATGATAACATGAAGTAAAGAATCAAACAATATAATATTGTCGGTTCTAACAATCCTCAAAATGACCAAATTGGGCGTTCGTTTCCTCCTTTTTCTTTTATAATTTTATCTATTTTTTTTAAGATTTGAGATGGATTAATGGAGCATTAACTTTGGGCCTCTTTATTAATGTTAAAATAGTGCCCTTGCTCGGGTAGGGTGGGCCCGAAAAACCTCGGTTCATACGATTGAGAACCCGGTGACCAAGTTTTTCTTATACTACCTGAATAGTGGATGTCTCTTTATGAAAAAAAAATCAAGTTTTCGTTTCTAAATAACGGAAAATAATTTTTATTTCATTTTCAGATTTTAGCCAAACATTAGTTCCTAGAAATGACTTCTTGGAAAATTTTTTCCACAAATATCAAATTTTCCATGAAATAAATGGAACCTTAGAGGATAAATTGATATATTTAGTTTACCCATTTAAATGGATGACACATCAATCCACATGAAAAAAAGTGCTGAGATGAGTTTTTCTTTTTTTATCCTTTTCTTTTCTTTGCTTTTGCCCTTTTCCCTTCACCTTCCTTCCCTCCTTTAGGTCGCATTTGATGACCAAGATAAATGCCAGACCTGTCCTGTGTTTGGTTGATGTACAAGACATGATATAGCCTAGATAAAAGAGAGATATAACCCGGATAAAAATATCCAATACAGGAAGTGCGATACATATGGATAGGATTTCTTATATCCATGGTATAAAAAGACTATTTCCTAAAAAACCCTTCCCTCTCTTTCTCCGTCTCCTTAGTAACTCTGATTCACGTGGAAATTTCATGACTCCTTCGTAACTCTTTGGTTTACGTTGAAGATTCACCAAAGCTGTGAGAGAGTCGAGGCTTCCCTTCTCCTTCTTAGCTTTCTAGTTGAAGTCAAAATTTCACAAAAATTGTGAGAGAGTCGAAGCACTATGCTTTTGGAATCGGGAAGGTGAATGATCATATTTTCTCTCTCTTACAAAATTTGGCATTCTTTAGCTAATCTATATCGTTGATGTCCTTGTAGCTCGTTTACAGTTCTTGTGGTAGTCGATTTTGTGGCTATGGATGCTCTAATGAGCTACTTTGCTATTTAAGGTTTAGCCCTTTAAATTGTTGATCGACAGTGTATAACTTAGTTGTTAGTGGGAGTTTGTTTTCTTTGGGTTGAGAGAGGTGAACGAGAGTCCGTAATAATCATGGATTGATAGTGTTTGTGCATTTCTGGGTTCTTTAGTAGTGAATCGTAAGAGATTTTTAAAATTTTCTTTTATGAATTTTCGGGTTGTTTAGTAGTGAATCGTGAGAAAGAGTCGACAATACTTTCCATTTGTTCATTTCCGATAATAATCATGAACTGATTTAGTCAGAATCTGTGAGATTCTTCTCATTTTCAAATCTAGGCCTGCATTATTCTCCGTTGGTTTGAAAAAGTTATATTGTGGGTTTTGGATGATTTTGCTATTATCTTGCACGTGTCTAATGTTTCTGTTTTTATTTTTCTCATTTGATAGGGATCACGATAATAGCGAAGAATAAGTGGCAATATTCCTACACATACTTGCCCATCATGTGAAAAATTCGTATCATCAAGTTCAGATTTATGATGTGTGAGGAGACAATAAGTAGGTACTATAACTTAGTTTTTAAGCGCGGTGATAAGAATGTATAGTGTTCTTCTTATCTCTCCTGGACTAATTCTTCAGGATTGTACCAACGAGAAATGAAAATGGTATATGGTATGTTTGTTGTACAGTTAGATGGATTCGTTTGATACTTAAAAAAGAAAGTTATTGCATTAATTTCATGTAACTAGTTCCGATAACAAATTTTTAGATAAGATGTATGTAAATTTTCTAAAGTAGTTGGATTTCGAAGGTTTTTTTTCCTTTCTCTTTATGGATCAAGGAGATAATGATGATAATAATGGTACTTTTTCATGGGCAGTGCATAATAGCATAATTGTCATTTATAGTGATATGCAGTTTATACCAAACAATGGACATGATAAGATATAAAAATATCCGATTTTCTTATTGTGATTCACCAAATAGTGAGTAGGATATAGCGAAATTTCTGAATTTCATATTCTAATTTATCAAGGCTTATCTTAGTTAGAAATTCAAACAACTAAATATAGCCTTAGTGTTCATACTATAAGCCCGCAACTTGAGTTCATGGAGGCCGCACCTCCCTCGCCACATCTATGGTCACCATTTATTTTTTGGCACTAGGAATCTTTAGGACTGCGATTGTCTTAGTGTTCAATTTCAATTTTAGCCAATGCATATCTTGTGACTTGATGGGGAAATTGTTCAATTAATTTTAAACCTATTGTACAAATCCAATTTAGTCATTAACATTACAATTTTACCAATGTAGTCCTAAACCAATTTTCACTAGAAATTGCTAATGTGGTGGTGTGCCACATAGGACAGCTAGCGATGACTGAACTGTTACGTTAGCGCTTTCCAGCAAAAATTAATCAGAATGATTACATTGAAATTTATCGTAAAAGTTTAGGACTACATTGATAAAATTGAAAAGTTTATGATTGGATTAACATTCATACAATAGATTTGGGATCAAAAAGCTTATTTCCCCGTGACTTCATTGCCCTGTACTGCGACTTGATTCACAACCCGATCTATGGGGTTGTTACCCCGAGAGAGGCAAGTGAGCGCACACAGGATGATGGTGATAGGTTGCTCGCACCAATTTGATAGTGGCGGGTAGTGAGCGACAAAGCAGTGAAGGAGACGATGAGCCGACGCTCCGCGAAAATGAAGGCGGAGGGGAGAGAATGGGTTAGGCATTTAAGAGTACATGTTGATAAAATGTAGGGGTGTTTTGCTCAATTTTGATAGCTGCACGGGGTCAAAATTAGAGGTGCAAACGGGCCCGGACCGTCGGGCAGGCCGGGCTTTTTGTCATTAACCAGACTATTGTTATCTTATATATACTAATTCATTTGTGGGAATATTTCAATTATCGAACGAACTTATGGAAGAAAACAGAACCTCACCGGCCCAGAACGAATGTAACTTCCTCAATCTTCGAAACCAAAACCCCTTTTCCTACTTTTCGGCTAAAGAGACGTCGCAGCAGTTCACGCAATTCTGCCGGCCGAAATTTCAGAGATTTTTATGCTTAAAGTTGACAATTAGATGTCATGCATGATGTAGTGTGAACCGAAACGTGGACTTCAATCGAAGGAGGCTTCGAATTGGATCGAACAGATGCATGTTAGGCCGAGTATTCCAACTATAAAAGGGTGCCTGTTTTGGATCTCTGGCTCATCCCACATCCTCAGGTGCAATCACAACATCACATTGCATTCGGTGGAGAAAAAAAGATGTCTTCCAAGCACTTGTTGCTCTTGGTCCTCAGCTTGGTGGCTCTCACTTCCGTGGCCCTAGCCGAATACGCCAAGCCACCTGAGCACGGCAAGCACAAGCAACACCACCATGGGGCCATGCCGCCCACTTGGGCGCCACACCACGGGCACATGCCTCACCATAGGCCTGGCGCCCCAAGGCTGATGCCTGAGATGCTTTTGGAGAAGCCGGGCTTCGAGCACAAGCCGTTCCAAGGCCACCACCACCCACCGGCCCATGCCCCCTTCCCGCATCACGGTCACCACGCAGCTCATGCGCCGTTCCCGCACCACGGCCACCACCACGGAGCGCACCCACCGATGGAGAGCGGCAAGGGCCACCACAAGCCCCACATGCCGCGTGCGCCAGCTCCGGGTCATCCCTTCTGAGTTTTTCACCATGTGATGGGTCATAATATGCACGTTTTTCCGTTAGAATAAGAGCCTATTATATGTACTGATGATTCATCCATGTATTACGTGACTATATGGCCTGGCTTATTGACCGGCCATCACCACATTCCGGATTTTGCAGAGCTTGTGGAGCTCGGAACTATATCCTGTTTCTTGATTACTATCATAGTTATGCACTGGCCTTTTAATCTTTTTGTTTGATTGAGCGTTCGTATCATGCACTCTCGCACTCACATTTATATTCGCGTGTGTGATCTTTCCTTTAGTAGTTTACCCCTCATTTTTCTCAATGAAAGAATAGGCACGATCAAGTTTATTGTAGTAGCTTGAGTTCCCACAATGGATGAGTGTGCACTGGTGAAATGGTATAAACGTGGGCGATAGCGATATAAGATCATTGGACACAATAAATTATATAAATATAGAAAATTATGTCAACTTGGTCATGTATTTTGAACGGGATATGTCCGGACTGATCTACATATAGGCCAGATAAAACATCCCGACTAAGATTCCGAGTGGTGATTTTATCGTTCTATTGTAGTTCACCTCAACATTTCCCACTTGTGCAACTGTTGTTGAGCAGCTTTTGGATATCAAACAGACCTCCCCTAAAGGTAGTTTTAATGTGGCCCATTTCACCCATCCATGGGTATCTGCTTCTACAAAAGTGCTGACCAATCATGGATTGGTTTTAATAATCTCTTATTGATATAGTTACCGATGGTGAATTTCCGCCTGTTTCCTCCTCCCTCAACGGAACAACCTTGTTTACATAATGTTCTGTTGTTTGAAGATAAGTTCACTTTCTCACCATCCAAATGGAAAAAAGTTATTTTAAAAAATGTAAAATTACAAGTACAACCATCAGAGCCTCAAAATAAAAATCAAAATTTTATGACATGAATTGAAGCATCGAACGATATATGGTTGGTGGCCAAAGAAGGACTGGCTTACAACCATCTTGAGTGAAAGTTCCATGATCACGACCAACAGCAACTTGTTGGGTGACTACTCCACTGCGGCATGAGGCCACTGATGCCGAGTCAGCTCTTATGCTGCTAGCTACGACCTGGTTGGTTCCCTGGTTCCGACAATTCTCAAAATAATCAAATTGAGTGCTCATTTTCTTCTTTTTCTTTTTTAATTTTATGTATTTTTAGAGTAAGACGGGTCAATTGATCTTTAACTTTTGGGCCCCTCTGTTAATGTGAGATGGGCTTTTTTAAATTGGCATACATCGACGATTTTAGTTTTAGTGGGTTCAAAATCCAACTCTAATGAGCTCATTTGACTCCATTGAACATGCATTTACATAATAATCTGGATCACCGAACATGTCCGAAAATTATTCGACGTCGAATTCCAACACTGACAAGTTTTACTTCTCGAATTCTACGTCCTCCTCATGTATCCAGGTGCGTATATTGCCTTATTTTGTCAGGGGGCATAGACTTGAGTGAAAATAAGGCAATTTGCTTCCACGAGGAATGATATCACGGCAGAAAAGAAGAGCATAGCTGACGGCTTGGCTGGCTTGGCTTGAAAACCGTTCTCGCGATAGCCACTAGGAACAACAGATATCGTCACTATAGTAATGAGGCATATCAAATGAAGGGTCAACTCCTACATTTTGCGATGATTTGATGGGCAAAAAAAATGTCGCATCTCAATCTATAGCAAGACTTAGGGAATAAGATGGTCAATTAATTGTCAAACTAATGGAAGAACAACAACAATGAGGCGGTTGATTGAATTAAGACTTACTCTCAAGGGGTTTGGAATTCCTTTGGTCGTAAGTTCAGATTTCCTGATCATTCCCCAAAATTCGTGCTAGCTCCAAAAGAAATCCAATTCTAGTGAACTCATTTTTATTGTGTAAATGATACATTAAAATTGGCAAAAGGACACCAGAAGTGCCACAACTTGTGTACGGCGATCACTTTGGTGCCATAACTTTTTTTCGGATCACTTTGATGCCAAGTCGGAGGAAAATAGATCACTTTAGTGACTCCGGCCAAAAAGCTGACCTGGCATTTATATTAAAAAAAATGATCTGACTTGTACACGTGGAAATTATGTAGCTTCTTTTCGAATATTTTAATTTTAGAAAAAAAAAAAGGTTGCAGCAGCGGCGAGGGAGGCTTCGCCGCTGCTGCCGCCAACCCACCACTGCCGGGAAGGGCCGGAGGTGGTGGGCGCAGTGGTCGGCGAGGGCCGGATCCGGCGAGGCAAGACCTCGCCTCGCCCGGAGAGGGCCCGATCCGGCGAGGCGAGACCTCGTCGTCGCGACCTAGGCGACGGCGAGGTCCGGCCTCGCCTTTGCTTGGCGAGGCGAGACTTCGCTGGGTCGCGACGGCGAGGTCTCGCCTCGCCCAATGGCGAGGCCCGACCTCGCCGTCGCGACCCGGGCGACGGCGAGGTCCGCCTCGCCTTCGCTGGGCGAGGCGAGACCTCGCCCATGCCTGGGTCGCGACCGCGAGGTCTCGCCTTGCCGGATCCGGCCCTCGCTGGGCGAGGTGAGGGTCGCCGGGCCCCAACCAGGGGCCGGCGACCCTCGCCGACCACTGCGCCCACCACCACCGGCCCTTCCTGGCGTGGTGGGTTGGCGGCAGCGGCGAGGGAGGCCTCGCCGCTGCTGCAACCGTTTCTTTTTTTTTTTTTTAATATAATTTAATTTTTTAAAAAAAAAATACACGTCAGAGAGCTAAACAGCATCGTTTTTGGTTTTTAATGCTGACTGGACCTCTCTGACGAGCCGTGTCAGCGCCACATCGGATTTCCGGCGAGCCACGTCAGCATTGGCACTAAAATGATCGTTTTTCAAAAAAGTTAGCACCAAAGTGATCCGAAAAAAAGTTATGACACCAAAGTAATCGCCGTACACAAGTTGTGGCACTTCTGGTGTCCTTTTGCCCATTAAAATCCTTTGTCAAAACTTAATGAAAAACAATTCTAAAGTTGAGTGTTATTGTAGTATTTTCTCATTTGATTATTGACAAATTTTTAGTGAGGGCACTCTTTGATGTGCTCGTTTTTTAACTTAGATTTAAATGATGGGCGTTCTAAACTTTGAAGGCAGATCAAAACATGATAACAGTTGATGGCCTAGAAGAATGGTATTTCCTTAGTCTTTTGTCCAAGGAAGGCCACCCAGGTTGCGGACTGGGTGACGAAGGCCCATCGAAATGACTCCGTTAGCCCATATTGGCTTTCGAAATCCCTCGTTCACTTTGGTCTTTAAAATGTTCTGATGTTGGACGCTCTTATCGTTCAAGTTCTAGTTAGTGATGAAAGTAACTTACCTTTTGACCAAAAAAAAAAAAAACACGATAACATGAATTAAAGCATTAAACAATATGTGGTCGGTTCTAACAATCTTCATAATAACCAAATTGGGCTCTTGTCTCCTCCTTTTTCTTTTTTAATTAGATGTATTTCTTTTAGATATAGGAAGGGTTAATGGATTTTTAAGTTTTGGCCTTTTTATTAATGTTAGATGGGCTTGTAAATTTGCTTGTAAGATTACGGCCTAATGGAGGAATTTACTTTGTGGGTTCAAATTTCAACATTAGATGGGATCAAATTACTGTTGAAGTTGATGTCTTGTATTCTGTTATCCAAGAGATTATGAGGCGGTTCCGAAAGGCCCCCTGACGACTAGACATCACGGGGGTCCCGCTCCCAGGTGAGCGGGAGGGGGGGGGGTCCGGGGGTGCCGCCCTGGCAGGAGTTGCGGGGGCAGCGCCCCCGGGCCGTCAGAGGCGTTTTATGTTCAGTCATAGAAGGATTTATATGGGAAAGCTAAATATTTTAGGCTATGTGAGCAACTTTGTAATTTGTGCCATGTAGGGTTTCGCTTTATATATTTAGGGCGAAACGAGTCTTTAGAATTGAGGCATGGGGTGAGAAAGAGTGGCTGTACACTTTTCTACGTTATTAGTAAAACAGATCCCTTCTCCCCATGGACGTAGGTAGGCGGAACATCTCTCCTGCTGAACCACGTAAATTCTTGTGTTGTACGAATTTCCATTACTTTCTTGCATCGTTGAAAGGATTGAATTCAGATATTCGAAAATTACTCAATTGAACATTTTTATACATAATAATTCTTCGTACAAAAGTATTTGATTGCGGTCAATTGACTCCACGTAAAGACATTACGCACCACAATTGCTAAATTACACCGAGCAACTAATTGATCGGACACTATTGCATTATACCAAATAATTTATAGGACATTAGAAATCCTATCCATATCATTCTATCTTCTTTCACCCAGCCAAATAATCTAGATTACCAAATATGTCCTAGAATGATTCCACGTTGAATTCAAATATGGACCGGTTTTGCTTCTCAACTTCTACATGATTGAGCAAAGCAATTTACTTTCGTGAGGAATGATATCAATGCAGAAAAGAAGAGCAAAAAGGACAGCTTTGTGACGAGGCACTCCTGTACTTTGCGATGATTTTATGAGAAAGAAATGGTTCGTATCAATTCATCGCAAGTCCTTGGGATAAAAAGTTCATTATCAAACTGACGAGAGAAAAACAACAACTAGGTAGTTGATCGAATTAAATAAGGCTTACTCTCATGTGGTTTGAAGCCCCTTTGCTTGCCAATGAACTTTTTTTGAATGTGTGAATTATAAATTAAAATACTCTCACAAAAACTTAATAAGAAAATCTAAAGTTCAATGATATTGTAATATATTTTCATTTCATTATTGACAAACATTCCATCAGGCCACTCTTTAATGTACTCATATTTGGACTTAGACTTAAATGATCGGTGTTCTAAACTTTGAAGGAAGATCATCAGTATAGAATTTAGATTTGGAGACTAACGGCTCATTGCCGCCTAGTGAAACAAAGAACATTGGGTACTGGTACGGTTGACCGTCCCTTAAAGTGTAATGCCATCGGTAAATGCTTAGGAGACCAAGACCCCCTCCTTTAATGTGTTAATTGTTG